AACATTTCAAACCCTTTAGAAATGATCCCAGGTCTTCTCTAAAGTCATCGTTGGACTTTGGAATAAAGCAAACCTTTAGCTGGAACTTTCTTTCCCCAATCTGATATTTTCGGAAATGACTAAAGAGACTTAAAAGATCCAACTTGACGATGGATGATCTGGTATCTGGGAGCTGATCAGTTAGAATTGAATACACCTTCTTCCAGAGACCTTGACCAAGACCTTGGGTGTTAGGTACTGCTGGGTGTCTCGGACTAGCATCCTCTGTCACTGTAAGACTCTTTTGTGGACTCCCAGCAGATGATGAAGCATGAGGATTCTGTTTATCAAAACCTCTGGTCAATTCATCTGTTGAACTTTGCAGTTCTGTGCTTGAAGCAGCCTTGGAATCAATTCTGCTGCTGCCATGAATTTTCCCTTCTTTGTCTGACTGGTTGTATTTGCCAAGGGTATCGCCCGTCATATCTTTGAGAAAGTTTTTTTGATTCACATATCTAAACCTATCTGTGACCACATGATGAGTTTGTTTCTTCTGCACGTACATTTTTGCCTCAAGACTTTGCAAGATCTTCTCACATGTCATAGGAAATTCACTCCGAACCTGTGTCATCAATGCATCAGCAGTTTCCATTGTCCTATCTTCTGACTTGTCCCTTGCCGCCAAAACATAAACAATCTCTCTTTCTTTAAAGAGGCTCATGAATCTATCTTTTTCATCTCTTCTAGCTTTGATTTCATTGCACGCTGATTCTTTTCCATTCCCTTTCCTTTGCTAGTTCTCCAAGGGTGTCCCAGATTTTCTACCTGATTTCTTTGTTTTCTCTCTGTGAAGCGGTCCCACATTTCATCAAGAACAGTTTTGGTCATGTGACTAGTCAGTGCCCTGAAGAGGATATCTGCAGAGTTTCGAATCTGAGATGCGACGACTCTTGTGTGGTGTTGTCAAAGCCTTCCTTGACATGGATGATGTACGTGTGTGTCTGATTGTACATGATTATATCAAACATTTCTATGTTGTTAATGAGCATTCGGTCTCCAACTAGGAACCCAGTCTGTAATGGCTTTCCTGTCATGGTGATTAGTTTGTCCAAAAGGATGTAAGTGTCATTGTACATACCTTCCGTCAGAGGTGTGTTCATTCTGAGAAATATTTGTAGAATGGGTCTTCATCATGTTCATGATCTGTTTGTTTGATACGAGCACACTATGCCATCTTCAACCTCTGTAACTTTTCACAAAGAGACCTCAAGCGCTTCTTGGTTGGCCTCCTGTAGGTCCAAGACCTTCCTCCCTAGGAGAAAATCAGTCAGAAATGCATTAAGAAATCCAGTGAAAATGGCTTTGTTGTCAGTTTGACAGATATTTTCCCTGCCTGTGAATGAACCCATGGCAAAGGCAGTATGTCTGCAGAGGTGATTGTTTGCTCTTTTTATGACAGACTTGAAACTTTCATCCAGCATTTGGAAATATTCAAGTTTTATTTTCAGCCATTTCCCACACCAAAAGTAGTAAGATTTGGAGAGAGATGTGAAATGTGATTGGATGAAGCTGGTGATGGGTTTCTTTGGGCTTAGCTGCTCCACCAGCATTGCGCAGGGACATCTTTACATCAGTATGCAGTATTTCGCCAGAAATCTTGTTTGACGAGTAATGTTCTTTTAAGGCATCTGCAACATCTTTGAACTTTGGTGGACTCTCTGTCCACTTTTTATGGGAGACCTCTTTGATTTTGTGTCTAGGAAAGCCTATACTCAATTGCATTTAGCCAGAGATCAAGATCACCACAAGAAAGCTGGATGTAGTCTTCACATTTGTTATTGAGATATTTGTCGATTCTTTTGTACAAGTCTTCTTGAAGCTTCTTGATTGTCTCCTTGTTGTGTTCTTCCTGCATCAAGTCAAACATTGCAAATGTTTCGTCATCTTTTCTTCAGCTCTTTGACTGGAACCAAACTGGTATGTAGGCTCATTTCTGTCAATAGTTGCAAAATGAGAAACTATTTTCTGCATGTCAAATATGTTTGGAAATCTTGTCCTAACCTCAATAGAAAGTTTTTAATTGCAATTGATGGGCGTTTGTTTCTCCAAGTGTTGCAGATCTCGAGGATTGATGCCATCTTTTTGGTTTAGCAATGTACTTGTGGACAACCACGTCTATGACATCCCAAATGTTGATGGTTCCTCCTCCTGGGATGTATTGTTTCCTGACTTGTGACGTGTCTCCTGTCACATTCCTTGTATCCAGCTGAATTGTTGTTGGCTCCAGAAGTCGTCTTGCTATCTTCTTTGGAAATTCTGGACAGCTTCTCTGATCAACATGTCTGTAAGCCATTCCTGATACAGCAACAAATATTTCTGGACCATCCGTGTCTTTATAAAAGAAAATCATGTGACTTATTCTTTGATTAACATGCTGTAATTGCCTTGGTTTTATGATAGACTCGATGGCAGGCAACATTTGACACTCTGTGGGTGTTGTGCACTCAAACAGCTTAACGTGAAAGCCAGATTCATGTTCTTGTAATCTGTCAGTCACACTTTCTTTCAAAGACAGCTCCTCCAATGTTGCCTTCTGATCAGCTTTAGCTGGATCCAAAACTGAGTGCTGCGATGTACCAGGTCCATTGTTGTCCCCGTCTGTTGACTGTGATTCAAAGTATTAGGGACACCTTCAGAGATGACACTCTCTCTCTGGACATCAGATGTCTGCTGCACTTGAGGATTTATTGGTCCATCAGTGCCCCTTTGTCTTCTGTCTAGGCGTTTCTCCCTCCATGTTTCCTTTTCCTTTTCTTGCCTGCTGCTGTTCTCAATGCCGATGGTGGACATACCCGTTATTGAGCTTGTTACATGGTCGTTTGACCCCTGTCCCGCTTTTAGATTCGTGATGTCGTTGTGATTGACTTTTCAATTGAAATTCTCCTGACTTGTTATGGTCTCATGATCCCTCCATTAAAGTTTATATGTACCTTTGACATTGTTATCGTACGTTTCAACTGGGATAATATTTTTGACAATGCACTGTTTCTTTATGTGGCGAATATATATATATATATAAAGTGATGAGAATACCGAGCGTACATTAGTACATATATAAGAAGAAGTTTCTGAAATAATCACACGACACGGATCTTCTCAACATGTTTCACGTTTATCTTCAGGGAGAATATATATATAGTCATGACTTTTGTAACCCTATGTCCATCTCATAATGTCATGTATCAGGTAAAGGGTACGTTAAGATGTGAATTAAGTGAATTAATAACCATTGCTTCAGTGTGGCTGGTTGTTGTCTTACAAAGCTTTTAAAATGAACCCATAAAGATCCGGGTTAGAATTGTTTTCAGCAACCCTGCTAATCCTTAGTTGGACTGAGTGAGTTTAGTTTTACGCCGCTTTTAGCAATATTCCAGCAATATCACGGCGGGGGACACCAGGAATGGGCTTCACACATTTTACCTATGTGGGGAATCGAAGCCGGGTGTTCTGCATGACGAGTGAACGCTTTAACCACTCAGGCTATCCCTTTGTCCAAAGAGGCAACTAAAGGGATCGGGTGGTAAGACTAGCTCACTTGGTTGACACGTCACCATATCCCAATTGCATAGATTGATGCTCTTGCTGTTGATCACTAGAGTTTCTGGACGCCGCCATATAGCTGGCATATTGCTGAATGCGGCATTAAACAACAAAATGTTGTCTGCAGAATAGTGCAACTGAATATGTTTTTTAACAGTTTAAAATCCAAAGAAAGAGAAGGTCATGTAGTTGTAAGCATTAACATTCAAAATATTTTCGGCATTCCTACTGAGGAAAAACAATACGTCCACCTAATTTAACAAAATTAAACCGGATTGTGCATACTCTACTTCGTTTGAAAACAAAATGACAAAGTTATGCTCATAGGTTGTTCTTTTAGTATGGTAGAACTTAGAAGTATGGTAGTCCGAAAATCAAATCATGGTGAAACAGCTGAAGTTTTGTTGAATCAAACGGGACAGAAAGTTGAACCGTACCTCCATCAACACATGTACTGAACCACATGATAGGAACTGGAATGACCAATTACAATGGTCATAGATATGGGTGCAGTGGCGCGCATACTGGAAGTCGTATTCCAACCTCAGCAACTCAAGTTTCTGGGCAGAAGCATTAGGTGCGTTCCAAGACACGAATCGCAAATTCATCGGTCAACAACAGATCGAAGGGCTTGCTCACTTTTCCAAAACGGAAGCGCAACAATCGCTCTCTCGCCTTGCCTTGGCATAGAACGAAATAGTAAATTTATGACTACTTTGAAAATGTGGAGCAACCCAGAATTTCTTGCTCTGTCAAATCAAATTTCCGTCGGCCAACAACAAGGAGAGTTCTATGGATACGGCAGACGTCACACTGGTGTGATTGTGAGAAAGCACGAGCAAGCTGTCCCCGTAAAATTGTTTTTGCAACACACTCGTATTCTGAATTCACTGTTGGGGGATTTCTAGGGAGATGTTTAACAGTGAGCAGCCATGACATAAGTCTCCTTGGTGTCTGAATCGTAAGATCAGGTGCAAACTGTACCAGATTCATCAATTGCACGTTGTTTCTTCGATCTAAATTCATGCCTCTTTATGCCACAAGGACTCAATAAATATTCACAGAAATCCTAAAATTTGAATTCGACAACAAAAACGTGTAATCCACAATGTAAACAAAAAAAATAATTTAATGCAGATCAAAATGATTTAGTTTTTTACATTTAATGGGAACAGATCAGCTAATCAGAATGCAGGAATTACAATCATAACAATGGAAATTTATGTATGTAAACTTGAATTAAAAACTACATGTAAGTTTATATAAATGTCAACAAGAGGTTTGGGTTGTTTTTTTCTATGTAAAGTGAGTCAGTTAAAATTTTACGTCACATCGCCATATTCCCAGTCATATCGGTACTTTTCTACTTAAAGTTGATGTAATTTGAATATGAAATTTGTCGTGACCAAATTATTAATTACCTGTGGTTCTGCAGGTGTTCTGGCTGAGTCCCCTCGCCTGAAACACAAACAAGACCAACATAATTTCACTTTGTATTCATGGAGAGCGGGTAGCTGGTGTTCCTGCAATATTATTAGGGCGGTGGGGTAGCCTAGTGGTTAAAGCGTTGGCTCGTCACGCCGAAGACCCGGGTTCGAATCCCCACATGGGTACAATGTGTGAAGCCCATTTCTGGTGTCCCCCGCCGTGATGTTGCTGGAATATTACTAAAAGCGGCGTAAAACCAAACTCAGTCAGTCAGTCCTGCAATATTATGTGAGCAATATCTAACTGATTTAATAAGCAGTTAAAATTCTCTCTAATGCATAACTCTTAAATCAGCCTTTATCTGTCACCTCAAACAGACACAGGAATGGAATATATTCCGAAATGTGTCACTGGGCACCTGGCAGATAATTTACGTGTGCCTTTATTTTTCACCTCACATTCAGTGTGCCTGTTCAGTTTAAGCAAACATGCACTGAATGACCTCATGAATTTGCTTTCCACACGCGCATTTCGTGTTTTTCATCTTGATGGGCTAGAAAGTCAAGGTTTGCTCCTGAACTTACAATTAAACAGAAAAAGAAAAATGTCGAAATTTATCAGTGTCAAGTTTTTAATTTTGCTGAGTATATCTGTGTGAAGATGGACGTACAATACATACCAGACGATGGAGCAAAGAAACTGAGAATGGATGGTTGACTCATGTCCCTGCCTATATCGTCCTCCCTGAAACAAAATGTAATACGTGAAGCACGTGAGCGAGTTTGGTTTTACGCCGCTTTTAGCAATATTCCTGCAATATCACGGCGGGGACACCAGAAATGGGCTTCACAAATTGTACCCATGTGGGAATCGAACCCGGGTCTTCGGCGTGACGACCGGACGCTTTAACCACTAGGCTACCCCATTGCCCCTGAAACACCTGAACAAGTTGGGGATGGGTTTGATTATTGCTTTGCTTTGTCTGATCCAAACTCGACTACTCATGCAGTTTCCATATTGCCCATGGTAGAGTGGGATTTGCTCCAGGAAACACTGACTGAAGTAAAATCGCACACATTCACTGTGTCACGGCCACAAAATCATCGGTCCCCAAAGAATAGTGTCTTTCGTTTCAATGTTTGTATCTCAAAGGGCAGGATTCGGTTCTACCGGTGTCAAAGTAATATCGTAGCGAATCTAGAGATAATTCCAACCAACTAAACACAATGAATACAACTTCATAATACTACAAAAACAGTCCTGTCAATTTTATGATGTCGGAGAAATATGTTTTTCTGCGTTTTCTTAACTATTTCATTATCCTGTCTGGGTGATGTCATGTTGAATTCAAAAATACCTCCACGCTCGGGCTGCTATGATTTAGGCATATATTCCGTGATTCAAGCCGTATCCATTCCTACATTCAACTCGTTATTCACGATCACTAGGATCGAATATTCCTGACTTTTAACACGTGAATGTCCGGGTAAGAATTAGACTTCAGTATCCCCATGCTTGTCGTAAGAAGCACAGGGCGTGTCACGCTTAGGAAACAGCGTTAGAAAGACATATAGGTATATAGACCCTTCCCTAGTTCTATAGAAAGGAAAGGGATGTAACGACGGAACCACCCCCATGGTTTTGGAGAAAATGTCTGCTTACTGTCGAGGAAATGATTTGTAGATGTTGCAATAAGTTTTAGACCCGTGGAATGGCGCTGCCGATCGAATCTAGCCCTACATGCCATAGGTGCTGTCAACGTGGCTGGAATTATTAAACGAATTTAAAAGGTGAGTTTTCGCTGTCATGGGTGATCCATGATTTTGGCTTGGAATTGCATTGAGGTAGCTGTTTTCGGTGAGTCGTGGGTATAACTTTTGAAATAATGATCCGATTGTGACCATTTATAGCTCATTTTGTAGGAAATCATCTCGCTTATGATCCATAGGCCTCGACGGGGCCTTACAAATAGTTTACGTGGTGAAATCTAACTTAGATTGAGGAGGGGGTGGTTCCGTCGTTACATCCCTTTCCTTTTTAGTACTAGGGTAGGGTCTATATACCTATATGTCTTTCCAACGCTGTTTCTAAGCGTGACACGCTATATAGAACTAGGGTAGGGTCTATATACCTATATGTCATTCTATATATATAGAACTAGGGTAGGGGTCTATATACCTATATGTCATTCTATATATATAGAACTAGGGTAGGGTCTATATACCTATATGTCATTCCATATATATATAGAACTAGGGAAGGGTCTATATACCTATATGTCTTTCTAACGCTGTTTCTAAGCGTGACACGCCCTGTGGTAAGAAGCGACTAACGGGATCAAGGGGATCCAGAGTGCGGCGTTAAACAACAAACCAACCAACCAAACTGATTTTTCAAAGTGGCGTCTCTTTACTTGAATTCGTGTTATATTTATCAAAGTAGAGATAATCAAAATGGAATATATTCAATACAGTGTTCATGGAAATGGCGAAAGACAGATTTGAATGACGAATGTGAATGTCCATTTTGAGTGAGTGGTAGTGAGTGAGTTTGGTTTTACGCCGCTTTTTAGCAATATTCCAGCAATATCACGGCGGGGGACACCAGAAAAGGGCTTAACACATTGTACCCATGTGGGGAATCGAACCCGGTCTTCGGCGTGACGAGCGAACGCCTTAACCACTAGGCTACCCCACCGCCCCATGTCCATTTTGAACAGATTCCACCATATGTTCTAATAATTTAGGATTGCACGCTCTCATTTTAAGTACAAGCGTGTTAAATGCGTCCCAACCGCAATTCGAGCCCACAGCCCTGACTCCGGCACCTAATCGCCAGCACACAAAGTCAGCTATATAACCCAGTCAGATACACCTTTTGTGCCTTCATGGCTAGTACCAGTGAACGAATTAAGTTTCCTTTCCCCATGACTTTCAGTCTTAAATAAGGATTGGTTTTAATATATGATATAATATATCATAGCAGTATCAGCAATGCCATTCTAAATTTTCGCTCGTAAAGACGTCAAATTCCAGTGTGTGTTTTACGGGTGCAAGTTGGCCTTTCAATTCCACACAATCCAAAGATATCTGTATAGAATATAGCAAAAAATACAATTCAGGCGATAAAGTTGAGGTAAATTGTTCCTTCTGGGCCACTTTCGGCTTGTGTTAATCCCATACATTTTATGATCAGCCAGTGGAGCCTCACTGACGAGGGCAGGGAAGTCCCCGAACGGGTTTCCCTGTTTACATTCACTCGTTTCTTAAATATAGTATTACACGGGACATCGTTCAGCATTCTCTATTTCATCATTTAAGTCTTCTCTCATGAGTGTCTAAGATAGACTTGAAGATATATACTGAACCACCAAAGAAACGTCACCCTACCAAAATATTTGCCAGATATGTTTCTTCTGAATGTTAATTAATTTTTACTCTTTATATTTTAGCTAGACCTGATTCGTAGCCAATGTTCAAGGATCTTGGTTTCCAGATGCTGTATTTGATACAAAAACATGTCGTCAAAACGCAGTTACTAAAGTAATGATGGGACGAGGTTTTGTGCGTATTTCATGAAAAAAATGACAATGCACATGCATCCCGAGGTGTCATCCCTATAAGAAGAGCCACCGAACATGCACCGAATCATTCACTGTTCGGACAGTAGGGACATGCCACTATTATCAAGGGAACAGAGGGACCAAGCTTTAGGAAGACTGAATGCTGGCCAGACTGCAAGACATGTTTGCAAATCATTTTTTCTGTTCATGTTCAAACAAAACCGCCTGCAGCAACGAAGTCCAAGCCACTGGAAGCACAGCCGACCGTCCCTCGCAGTGGCAGTCCGCCTGTGACAACGTTGAGGCAAAATCGGCAGAATGTCCGTCATCACCTGCAAAATCGTTTCGCTAGGGCTACGGAAACTGCACAGCCAACCGTTGGCAATAACCAGAGACCAATCAGCGCCGACACAGTGCGGAGGCGTTTGAGGCAGAGAAACGTCAGATGTCGCAGGCCTTACTGGGGTCCCATCCTCACTGTTCGACATGCTCGTGGTCGCCTCCAACGGCCAAACATCATCGGAATTGGCTTCACCGGGAGTGGCGAACTGTAGTCTTCCCGACGAAAGCCGATATTGCGCCTCGACGGCTGATGGCAGAGTGAGAGTGTGGCGACGACTCGGGGAGCGTTTGCAGATGATGTGTCCTGAAACAGACTCCGTGGGGAGGTCCGAGCATAATGGTGTGGGTGCTATTGCTCTCAATCACAAACTAGGCCCTATGATGTTCCAGAATATTTGGTCCTGGTAGAGGAAATGGTATAATATCTGCCCGCTAGATTGATCAAGCGCTGAGACCACATGTGCCACATGTTGGTCTTCATGGAAACCACATCTCCAGCATGACAACGCGCGAGCCCATACTGCCAGAGCAACTACAGACTTTCTCCGTCAACACGGCATACAAACTCTTCAATGGCCTGCCCTCAGTCCTGACTTAAACCTGATAGAACACTTGTGGGACGAGATTCAGAGGAGGCTCAATGATGTGCGACGAAGGCCGACAACTGCGGCTGAAACTCTCTCAGGCGTATCATCGAGTGTGGGCGCAAGTTCCTATGGCCTTCATCAACCGTCTCATCCATTCCATGTACAGACGATGCAACGCTGTTGTCAACGCTCAAGGAGGCCATACACGTTACCTGTCGTCATTTTGACTTGTCATTTTCTGAAATTCGTCTTTAAGTATTGATTATCAAACATGTTAATTTTGAAATCTTTCCGACAATTATTATGTTTTTTCACATGTTTAAATTAAACTGATTACCAATTTCAAAAAGGAGTGACGGTTTTTTTTGCGGTTCAGTATATTTATAGAAATTATTGTCTAAGAAAATTGAATCACTGCTATTACTTACTATTATACAGATACAAATATATATTCAGACAGATGTCGGATACACACTCATACACTGTAGCTGCCTTTAGATATAGTGTTTTTCATTATATTCTCATCGGTTAATTAAACTATAATAACTGTTACACGTCATTAATTAGCTGTAATACAAGTTATAGTATTAAATATAACTTTGTTTACCTCGTATGGTAATAAACATAGGAAGACACTTGTAGCTTTCACCCCTATTTAGAAACAAAATGGACTAGTCCAATAATCGAGCTTTATTTTTCGTTCATTCTTGGAAGCGATAAGAGGTGTATTGTCTGAGCTCTACATAATAAAGTTATCAAGCTCCTCAGTTCTTTTATCTCAGTATAAATATGATAATAATCAATTCCTAATAAAACCGAGGTGTTAATTATACGAATATTTTGCGGATATACTATCCATGTAAGCTTAAATCTGTACATATTCATCCCAGCAGAGAGGTTTAAAATGGCGGGTGCTGGTGTTTGACCTGCATCGTGACGTCACAGCCTGTCGCCTGATTTGAAAATGTGCCTATTTAACTATTTTTCTAACGGTTAATGGTATAATCTAAATGAATATACAAACAATACTCGTAGAATAAGAGGGATAATAATGTTGTTAGATGATTCAAATATGAAGGAATTAGGTTTGTACAGTTTGCACAGCTTCAAGCTTCAGCCTACATCAAGTCCCCTTGCTTGTTTGATCGTGTCACCATAAAATAGACATTTTATCGTTTATGTCATTATAAACCATATAGTAATTCTTGTTAATACTACCATGATGACTATTAAATGAATATTATGTGAATAAA